TGAGTATTTGCTCTAATTTAAGATATTAAATTCCTTATTTGAAAGTTAAATTTCATGGAATCAATAAGATTTAAGATGCATAGCACATTGTGCCTATGTTAGTTATAAGAACCCTAAAAGAATGAAATTTATTCTCTCTAAATACAGCCATAGGCTTTCCCTAATAATTCTAATCATATAATATGTAGACATATAATGTTTAACCAAATAGTACCTAAATGAGCCTTTTGATCACCAAATTTAGCTTTAGGAGGCAGCAATTTTAAGCATTTGTAATCTCCTTGGAAAGTATTTTAAGAGATCAAAGGCTATTCTGAAAATGTTTCTTGACCTGAATTGATTTTTCTTCTTAAAGATACTGCTTTCAGTAACTTGAGCCTTCTTTTATCTTAAACCTCTTCATTAAAATTTAATAAAATTAAAAATTAATGTATTTCCATTCAATAGCCTATAAAGTGAAATAAATGGTAGTAGCAGTAGTAAATATAAGTACATACATATTTATTTATTTGTTGTCGCTGATTAATCTATTAAATTTGAGACTTTTTGATTTTTTTTCTTTGGGTTCCTTAGGTAAAACCTCAATTCCAAGAGATTTTAAGACTGTCTGAAGAAAACATTGGTAAGTTTATCCATTATTAATTTTGTTGATAAATTAGTAAAGAAAAATATATAAGTATTTTGAAAACCAAGAGCTTTTGCACTTAATAGCTATGGTTTTTAATAGTTCAAAAAGGACATGGTTATTAACCCCCATTACATAGTTCGTTGTTAAAATCAGGTCCAGTTGTTAAATTTATATTTTTATGCAATTTCTTTATATATGACTCTCTGAAAATAGTTCAAAACCATATAAAACTGGAAATACAATACAAAAAACATTTAAGAGCATGGAAGCAAGTATAAAGATCTTAAAACAGCAGGTAATGCTCAATAAATGAACTATTGATGCTACAAATAATTTACCTCATTTTCAGCTCAAGAACTTGTCTTTGAATTGTCTACAAATGCTAAGAGAAAGTAATACTTCCATTGTAGTTAAGGGTCATACCACTATGGTTGGATACTTTCCCCACTCTTCCATTTATATCATCTAATTCTTTCTTCCTATATGAAATTAACAAGTCACTGTCTGGCTGAAAGCCTACAACTGATACATTTGGAGCCTCCAGAATTAGTCTAGCATTGGAAATCAGAGTCTCCTAGCCAGAGGCAGATTAACTAATATATCTGGGTGCCTGCTTTCAATTGAGTCCTTTACTTTTTACAAAACACTACAGATCTCAAACAGAAAGGTTTGGGAAGACCTGGCTGTATGGATATATGGGAGACTCTTTAAGAAAGCTCTCAGGCTGGAGAGATGGCTCAGTGGTTAAGAACACTGGTTGTTCCAGAAGACCCAGGTTCAAATCCCAGCACCCATATGACAGCTAACAACTGTCTGTAACTCCAGTCCCAGGGGATCCGACAGCCTCTTCTGACCTCCGCAGGCACTGCATGACATGGGTACACTTACCTACGTGCAGGCAATATACACATACACAAAATAAAAATAATAATTTTAAAAAAGAAAAGCTCTCATTTTTCTTTCTGAAAGTAGGAGTATAAGATTACACTTTGGTTATTAAATTTCTTTCTCATCTATCAGAAATGTGTATGCTTAATGTCCTTTCAAAAATAGTAAGTTGTAGTTAACAACAAGCAGTTGAAATATGTGTTGACAAAATAACCTTGTAAATAGTTGGGGGGGGTTGGGTTTTTTTTTTTTTTTTTTGTTTGTTTTGGTTGTTTTGGTCTTTCTGAGACAAGGTTTCCCTGTAGCGCCAGCTGTCCTGGAACTCACTATGTAGACCAGGCTGACCTCGAACTCACAGAGATCCACCTGCCTCTGCCTCCCAAGTGCTGGGATTAAAGGTGTGCGCCACCACGCCTGGCAATAGTTGATCTTTTAAGTATAATTGCATTTGACTTTTTTTCTTTACACTTAAAGTATACTCGAACTTTTAAAAATGTTTTAATAATTTTAGATTCCTCAGCAGGAAATGGGGTCCTCACTAAAGCTACCGTCCCCATTTATGCAACAGGAGTCCTTACGTGTTACATTCAGGTAAGAAAAAAATTCTTATTTTCTAGTAAAAGTTCCATGTAGTACTTGACACTATAAGTTCCAGTTCTGTTAAAAGTAACACGGTATTCCTTAAAAGTTTTCTAAATGAATTTCTACAATGACCTCATAATAGAGATACATACAAAATCTTTGTGTGTAGGATATTTTCGGTCATAATATTAACAGATATCTCTGTTGTTCCTAAAATTATAGAGGTGGTTAATATTAAGTCCAAACACAGCACCACACACAGTAGTTTGTATACCATTCTCTTCTCCCTTTAATTCTCAAAGCTGTTTAAGCATAGTAACAAGTCTGATAGCACTGTTTTCTCCTTTTTAACTACAAAGTTTCGATACAGGTTTGGTTTTTTCACCATATCATTTTAAAACATGTTAAAATACTAGTTATAATATATGGCATATAGTAAACTGTAGACAGATTTGTAGAATAAATGCATAAGAAGGTATCTCTTGAAAGACCATGAAATCCAAATAGATTTCTTAAAAGGTAGAACTTTTCAGCTTGTCACAAAATACTTAGTAAATTGAAGTAGTGATCACAGATTATCAGTGTCGCTTATTTTAGAAAGCATATACTAGGAGTTAATGATTCTTCTTGCTAATACAGTTTTTGTTAGGATAAACCATAGCCCTGTTTACTTTAGTAAACAAAGACTATCTTGAGGGCTTGGAATGTAGCACAGTGCTAGAGCATTTGCCTGCCATGTACTAGACACTGGATTCTGTCCCCAGTACCACACAGAAACATTTTTTGACCAAAATATATAAAGCAATATTACTTATTTAGAGATTTCAAAAATGGGAAATAAGATTACACTTAATTTTAAAATCTCAAAAGAATTCATACTCGTTTGGAAGTCTGTTTTTCAGTTCTTATTTCATTTGGTTTTATTTTTAATTTAACCATTTATTTTCCAAGGTTTTATCTCCTCTGTTTGACATTAATAAGCAAATAAAAAATCAGAGGAATTCCATTCTCACCTTGATTTGATGCTAGTTTGTCACTAGCATTTATTCCTTTTCACTAAAGACTGTTATTTTTTAAATTTATTTTTTAATTTATGTGTATGCATGTGTATCTGTATGAATATATGCCACCTATGTGTGTGAGTGCCTGTGGAGGCTAGAGAGCATGAGATCGCCTGGAGTTGGAGTTACAGGTAGTTGTGAGCCACCTGATATGGGTACTAGGAACCAAACTCAGGTCCTCTGGAAGAACAAGTGTTCTTAACCACTTAGCCATCTCCATCCTCAAGACTGCCATATTTTAAAACATCTTTATCTTTACTTTTTTCATATTAATAATTATTTTGTCAGTTCTTTATCTCAACTTCATTCAAAATGAACCTATATAGAAGAAAAACAAATGGTAGGTAGCAATCCAGTCTTATGGACCTTTCAATAGATTCAGAAGCTGTGTATTCTTGACTTTATATCCTTTTGACAATTTGACTTTAACATGTATTTATTTCCTGGAAGAATATCAGATGCCCTTTCCTTGTGCATTCAGATTAATAAACAAAATTGTTTAACTCTAAGTTAGCAGGTTTGTTTATGTCTTTTTAATTTTTTAAATATTTTATTATTTTTATTTTGTGTGTATGAGTATATTGCCTGCGTGTGTGTAAGTGCACCCATGTAGTGCAATACCTGAAAAGGCCAGAAAAGGGTTTTAGATCCCCTGGAACTAGAGTTATGAACAGTTGTTAATCGCCATGTGGGTGCTAAGAATCAAATGCAGGACATCTGCAAGAGCAGCCAGTGCTCTTAACCATTGAGCCATCTTTCCAGCTCTGGGTTTGTTTATTTCTTAATAAAAAATTAATATGAAACTAATGATTCATCAAATAAGATTTGAAAAAATACAGGCTATTTTAAAAAATATTTTTGTTAATTCTTCAGGATGTTTTTTTTCATACAATGTATTTTGATCATATTCATCATTCTCCCCCATCTCATCTCAGTTCCACCCCTGCCTCTCTACCCACTCCCGTCAAGTCCAGTTTATGTTTCCCAAATACTTCTTGGCATGGGTCCATCTCCTGGAGCAGAAAGGAGTCACACCCTTAAAGAAAATTGACTCTCCCTCTCCCAGCAGCTATCAGTTGCCAGTAGCTCCTCAGCTAGGGTTTGGGTCATCTTGCCCTCACCTCATGCTAGGATTTTGTCTGGCTTGAGCTTATGTAAGTCCTGTGCATGTTGTCACAACTACTGTTGAGTTCATATGTGCAACTGGCCTATTGTGTCCAGAAAACACTGTTATTATTGTAGTCATCTGATATCTCTGACTCTTACCATCTTTCTGCCCCTTACCCTTGGAGGCATTTGATATAGATGACCTGTTTGGGGCTGAACACACCACATCCTCTTGTCTCTACACATTGACTAGTTGTGGGTCTCTGTGTTAATTGCCATCTGCTACAAAAAGAAGCTTCTCTGATGAGGGTTAAGAGAGGCACTAATCTTTGGATATAGTGACAAGTCAGTTTGGTTATTGAGGCCAAGCACCTATAGCTAGCTAGGTCACAGACCCTAGGGAAGATCCTGTTATTGTTCTGCCAAATAGATGTGTTAATCTCAAAGTAGAACTGTTTCAACAATACTACTCTGTTTCACCAACTATGGAGGCTTTTTTTTTTT